TGAGCCACCCAGCCGCCACCAAAATTTTAAAACTTAAAATTGGAATCATCATATGTTACAAACATACAGTATTTGTAATTCAAATAAAAATGGTATATTTTTTCCATTTATACACTGATTCATAAAATTACTCTGTACCCTACTTCCAACAGTGACAGAGACACATATACATGACTGAGTAATAACAAATCAATTATGGAGGGAGCTAACAGTGAAGAAACATACAGATGCTGTCAATTTGAGAAGCCTTGTAAACTGTAAATAAGCAGTGATACTACACCCCTATAAACAACCTTTCCTTCAAATGAGAAATTATAAATGAGATTCTAAGAAAAGACTCAAAAAATGGAATGCTTTAAAAAACGCTCCAGGCATTAGTTTTTTGTTTCCATGTAATCCTCTAGGTTACACAGAGGACTGGGTACTATATTTAATATAAAGTATATTATAAGCAAAAATAAGACAAATCAATATCTAAAGAGGCATAAAATAGAAAACCCCTCTGCTTTCCATTTCGACTCTAAATTGGCTCCCTACCAGGTTGTGAGCAATATTCCATTGCTAGCACCTTCAAAAAATTGGAATACCTTACGGGTGCTCTTACTCTGGTAGACTGCATCACCTTGTAGAAAGTTTCCAAAAGGATTCCTTAGAGTATCATACATCATTATTTAGGAACCAGCTTTTTTTTTTTTTTAAAGGATCTTATTTATTTATTTGACACGAGAGAGAGAGAGAGAGAGAGAGAGAGAGAGAGAGAGAGCACGCACAAGCAGAGGGAGCAGCAGAGGGAGAGGGAGAAGCAGACTCTCTGCTGAGCAGGGAGCTCAATCCCAGTATCCTGGGATCATGACCTGGGCCGAAGGCAGATGCTTAACTGAGTGAGCCACCCAGGAGCCCCTAGGAACCAGCTCTTACTTCATCTGTGGGTATAATTTTTGGGCTATGTTAGTGTTCTGGAGGATTGATGAACTGAATATCAAGGTATTTATCACTAAGTTCTTTATTCTCTACTTGATTTAATACTTTGTTGTTTCATCACAAATTTACAGCATCAAAGAGTGAAAAAAGACTGCAGATTTTGGGACGCCTGGGTGGCTCAGTCGGTTAAGCGTCTGCCTTCGGCTCAGGTCATGATCTCAGGGTCCTGGGGGCGAGTCCCACCTCGGGCTCCCTGCTCAGCGAGGAGCCTGCTTCTCCCTCTGCTTGCTACTCCCCCTGCTTGTGCTTCCTCTCTCTCTCCCTACTAAATAAATAAAATCTTAAAAAAAAAAAGACTGTAGATTTGTCCTTGATGACAACAGTTTAATATACATAGCATGACAAAAGAATAGAAGCAGGGGTGCCTGAGTGGCTCAGTCGGTTAAGTGTCTGGTTAAGGTCACCATCTCAGGGTCCTGGGTTGGAGCCCTGCATCAGGCTCCCTGCTTAGGGAGTCTGCTTCTCCCTCTCCCTCTGCCCACCTCCCAACTCGTGCTCTCTCTCTCAAAGACATAAAATCTTAAAAAAAAGAATAGAAGCAGAATGATTTCAAGAGCAGTATACAGATTTCCAATTTTCACTTTGAGACTGACTTTACAGGTGACATCCCAACAGTCAGCAGAGGGCTAAAATGCACTATCTTAATCAGGATGACTTTTTATTTTTATCATGTATCACAGTCTGGAAAATGCTCTCAATATGAAGAAGAAGTGGCCAGCCAGGAGGTGCGGTGGTTAAAGGGTCTCGAACATGGCAAGAATCTCAGCTCTGCTACCTACTCTGGGACTTGGGGCAAGATCCTTGAATCTCTCTGGTCACACATTCTTCCTCTCTAAAACAAAGCTAACCACAGCATCACTTAATGGAATACCACAAGTACATATGGAAGGTGCTAAGCTCAAGAAATATTATGTTTATTATTATATATTAAAAAGATCGTTAAAGAAGAGCGGACCCTGAAACTCAAGCCATTTAACTCTGAGTTTGGTGCTTTTTACATCATGTAAAGTGCTGTGGCTGCTGCTGTCTTGTACAGGTTCCAGAACCGTGCCCTAATCATCATATTCCTGTTACCTCAGGTGCAAGTCTCAAAAGGCCAAAGCATGTCATCCATTTTTCTTTTGTTTCACACATTAACATGGATTTCTTTGAAGGATGTACATAGCTCTGGTATGTAACTTCTAACCTGTCACTTCAAAGCCTTTTACAGAATTCTTAAAAAGTTGACAGTGTTTGGTTGAGAATTTTTCTTCACCTTCCTCATTTAATTAACACTAGGGGTTAACATTTTGTGATAGTACTCTGTCTTTGATAAAACACAAAAATAGCGCTGTGATTTAGGATGAGTTCATACCCTATTTGAGCTAAAGGTATAATAATGCTAGGTCCTAAGCCTTAACATTTATGCTGACATCCTCCTAGAAAGCATAAAACATACAAGGCAACACCTGTAACACTCGAAGGGAGCATGTTTGTTATTATAAAATCTTCTGATTTTTATTTTCTTTTCCTGATATTTGAAATTTCAGGCATTCCATGGACAGCCTGAATGCAATTCTCTATTTCAAAGGAAATCACTTAACATTTGTACTTGAAAGAAGTCAATTGTATCCATTTGTCAAAAGTACAGTTACCTAGAAAGAGCTGGTTCCTAGGGGCTCCTGGGTGGCTCACTCGGTTACTTACAAAGCCTATTCTAATTCCCTGCCAGATGAGATTTCACCTTTTCATCACTTTGTTTATACTCCATTTATGGCAAATGTAATTATTATTCATAAACATGTCTTACTTATCATCTTCAAAATATATCCAGAATCTCCTGCTTCTTACTACCTTGACCACAACTACTCTAGTTCAAGTTCCTGCCTGGGGCTGCCTGGATTCCTGCAATAATCTCTAACTGGTCTGGCCTTTTCTCCTTTGGTCCTCCCACTTCCACAACGCAGTTAGCATGATCCTGTATAAACTCAGGCCACATTATGTCACTCCTCTTCCTCGAACCCGTTCACCTACCCAGAGTTAAAGGCCAAAGTCCTTATAGGGCCCTATAGGGACTGTCCCCACCCAAGCCCCCAGCTTTTCCTCCTCTTTACTTCACACCCCGCTGATGTTCCTTGAACTCACCAAGCATGCCCTTGCCATAGGGCCTTGCACTTGCTGTTCCCTTGCCATGGAAAATAACATGTCTTGCTCCCCAGGGTTCTCCAAGACTGCTAAAACATCACCTTATTAAGTAAGAGAGGCCTTCTCTTACCCCTCTGTATAAAAGTGGCAAATCTCTTCCCTCTCCATTCTCTTTATATCACTTTACTTTCTTTCTACAGCACTTACCAGCACATGGCCTACCGTATATTGAATTATTATTATTTTTTTTAAAGATTTTATTTATTAATTTGAGAGAGAGAGAATGAGAGATAGAGAGCACATGAGAGGGGGGAGGGTCAGAGGGAGAAGCAGACGCCCCACTGAGCAGGGAGCCCGATGCGGGACTCGATCCCGGGACTCCAGGATCATGACCTGAGCCGAAGGCAGTCGCTTAACCAACTGAGCCACCCAGGCGCCCCCGTATATTGAATTATTGTCCGTTTCCCTTCCCTTCAAAAAATGTAAGCTCCATGAGGCCAGGGACTTAATCTGTTCATTGCTCTACCCCGTGCCCGGCACATGGCAGGCAACAAATATTTACTGAATAAAGGAATGGCCCTTTCACCATAGAACATAAACTCTTTGAATTCTTTTCTACCTTTTCCACATCACCAACTGTGAAGACCTTCATTTAAAGGGCCCCCTTAACAAATATTTTTCAATGAACGAAGAGTAAGTGAACTGAAGTTACTGAGAATGCTTGGGACCAATCTACAGAGAATGAGGGGTACCAACAATCTAAGCAACTACACACACCAGAGAGCACACTGGTTCTCAAATGCAAAGGTGGTTGTGGAAAGGGGAACCGGCATCTGTCAACACTTCCGGGCTGTCTTGGTGGAAGTTACCCACGTTATCTATAAAATCTCCTGAAGCCCGTTGTCCTAATTCGCTAACCCTAATTAAACCTTCTGTACCGGTGCTCTGTTTAGGTTCGTCCCCTACTCAAACTCGTCTAGTCTGGATTTTAACCCGGGGCATCTGGCCTCCAGGGCACCGAACGCCGGCACGCTGGCCTTTCCGGGTTGACCAAGTTAAAGGGCAGCTCGGCTTCTGCAGGAGCTGCCCCCTAAAAGGCAGAAATACGATGGCGCAGATTCCCAGAGCAGCACAAGTACTTCGCTCAGGTTTCCACGGGGTCCGGAGGCTCTGGCATCGAGCAGAGAAAGCAGTTCTGCCCACAAATGGCTCCACAACTCAAGTTTCCCGGTGGCCGGTGCAGCACACCCAGCACGAAGGAAGCGCTCTGTAAACTGCAAGCCGCTAGGCAAACAGTACGGAAGATGAAGCTTTGGAAACAATACCCGAAAGAGGCGGGGGACGAATAACTTGCTGACAATGGGCACCGGTCAATACTGGGGGGGCCGGGGGCGCGGTGGCGGGAAGGACCGAGAGATGCTGCAGCCCCCCCGCCCGGGGCCGGTGGCGCTCCGAGCGCCCGTTTCCGGGGTCGGGGTCCCAGGTGACCGGACGCCCCAGGCCAGAGGCGCCCCCAGACCCCTGTCAACCCGGGCACCGGGCCCCTTCCGCCGTCGCGCCCCACGGCCCGGTCCGCTGCGCCGCGTCCCGCTCGCAGGACTCGCAGGACCCCCAGGCCGCCCTCGAGCCTCTCTTGGCGGCCGGCCGCCCGCCCGCCGCCTCCCCCGCGGCGACTCACCTGCGCGCGCCCCGCGTCCTCCTCTTCCTCCCTCCGGAGGCGTCTGGAGCCGACCCGCGGCGCCGTCCCGCCTCCCGCCCTCGCCCCGCCCTCTCGGAGCCGGAACCGCTCCCTTCAGGGCCCTTCTCCCCGCCTCCTCAGCCCTAGTGTGGCGTCACTTCCGCCAGCGCCGGGCCGCGCGCCGCGACTGTGGGTGTCGCGAACGCGCCGGGAGCGTCCCAGGACCGGGAGCGCGCCCCGCGTAGGACAACAAATTCGTCGCGCGGCGGCGGTGGAGGAGTCCGCCTCAGTACCTGCCTCAGGCTCTGCCGCCTCCCCGCGTGTTCTCTTGAGTCCTCTCTCGGTGACTACTACTAGGGTCCTCGCGGAGGCCCCGCACTCCCTCCCCGGGCCTGGGGCGACGGGGACTGCTCTGTGCCTGGTCCCTGCCAGGCCTAGCGCGAGGCGCGCGGCGCGGACGATGGGGTCGCCCTGAGGGACGCCCGGCGCCGAGCGGGCATGGAGGGGCTGTCCCGGGCATAGGCCCCGCCGCGGACTGGGCACGCGGGCCGGGACCCGAGGCGCCGCCGCCGCGGCCTGGAGCCGGAACCTGGGCCCCAGGGCCGGAGTCGCCGCCTGCAGCCCCCGCGGGCCCCGTTGCCAGCCCTCATCATGCCTTGGCCGTTTTCGGAGTCCATCAAGAAGAGGGCCTGTCGGTACCTCCTGCAGAGGTACCTGGGCCACTTCCTGCAGGAGAAGCTGAGCCTGGAGCAGCTCAGCCTGGACCTGTACCAGGGCACCGGGTCCCTCGCCCAAGTCCCCTTGGATAAATGGGTAAGAGCCGCCGGCGGCCAGCCGGGTGGGTCTCGCTCCCATGCTTAGGGCGATTTGAACGAGTGTCACCCGAGCTTGGTGACGTTCAACCCCTCCCTGGGAATTGTTTGGATCCAAGGTTTGCAGGGCTCACAGAAATGTGTTCAATCAAGTGTTTAGTCTGTTTCTAGTAAGTTGCATCCCGAAATCACGTGTTTCAGAAACTTAACAGAGGTGACGGAGTCTTCAGGGAGGGAAGCAGTTGCGTCAGTGGTTTGGGGGTTTTGGAAAGTTGGCCGCGAGGGGTCCCCGGAAGGTGGTGACCAGGGCTGACCCTTGGGTAGCAGGGGTCGCGGGGTTCCGTGGCAAACAAATCCTATTTCATGGGATGACACACTGGAAAGATTAAGGATGAGGAAGACCTTTGGGGATGTCTGAATTCCTAGTTATTCCTTTATTTATTTTGGGTTGGCTACTTGAACACCGTGGCCTCCGTACAGCGTCTGCCATCTGGAAGGAAGTTAGGTGAAGGCCTCCGGCCGGCCGGTTTGCCTGTTTTTTGCTTGATGTTATGTTTACAAGGCCAACCTGTGAGTGGTTGTGTGGCCCTAGTAGCGCTGGGTAGTTTTGCTTACTGGCTTCACGTGACAGATCATAAAAGCAGGTGTTTCAAAAGTGCTGAAGCTGCGATTTTCGGACATTTAAAAACCTGTTTTCTACTTGTCAGCTAGAGGCTGTGAGTTGACTCAAACTGTGTGTTTTACAGGTGTTTCACCTATAGTTTAACTCACCACGTATGGTTGTACCTGCATTTGTATGTTCAATGCGTTGTATTTCACTTAAACTGTATTTAGCCTTGAGTTGAGCAAGAATGGAGCGGCTTTTCTCCTTCCCCCAACCCTTTATTTGTTGGCTAGAGTTTGCTGCTGGCAGTTTGAATTGGTTGTGCTATCTTAAATTTTACTATTCTTAAAAGCATTCCTACACAGGGTACATTTAGGAAATTATAAACATAGGTGACTTGCGGGTGATAGTTGAGCAAAACAAAAGGTGACCTCCCCCTCCCCCCATTTAAACTGTTTAAAAAGCCTAAATATTTTTTACTTTTATTTATTTTTTTTAAAAGATTTTATTTATTTATTTGAGAGAGAGAATGAGAGAGAGAGAGCGAGCATGAGAGGAGGGAGGGTGAGAGGGAGAAGCAGACTCCCCGCTGAGCAGGGAGCCCGATGCAGGACTCGATCCTGGGACTCCAGGATCATGACCTGAGCCGAAGGCAGTCGCTTAACCAACTGAGCCACCCAGGCGCCCTATTTTTTACTTTTATATAAAGGTGTTAACAGAGTAATGACTTCCTTAGCCACAGAAACCTGAAAAATTCATATTATGCTAACACCTTATAATGACCCTTTGATGAATTTGTACTAGTATGAATAAACATATCTTTTTTTAGTAAGTAGATGACTTAACTAGGGAGAGTACAAATGATAGTGGAAAGAGCCCTGGTTTGAGTAGACCTAGTCCCACACCTGGCTAGATCATCCTAGCCCAGGCTGCCAGTTAGCTCAGTGACAGTCAACGTAGTAATTCACCAGAGTTTAAGAAACATTAATGGAGTATGCATTCCATGCCAGCCACTGTGTCAGGGTAGTATATTGCTGTAATTCATAGCTGAAGATAGGGATTCTGATGGATATTTTTAATTTCGGTGACCCATGAATCTATATACTTCTAGTATAGGTATGAATAAGCTATCTTAGAGGAGGAGGTTTGGACATTTATTGTCTTTTGTGGGTTGAGTGACTTTATGCATTATTTTTTAATGACTTGTCACATTAACCCCATAAGGTAGGTATTATTATTTCTATTTTAAAGTTGAAATTTAAAAAAATGTGCCCCAAGTCAGACAGCAAGTGGTACTGTGAGAATTCAAACCTAATTCTTAAGCCCCTTATTTCTTCATTAATCACATGGCTTCAAAGCAGGGAAAAGGCATTAATGTTTATTGAGCATCTATTTATTTTAGGCACTGTGCTAGGCACTTTTATTTGTGTAGTTTTAATTTAATTTTCATGGGAAATCAGAGGTGGTGATATTTGTTTTTTTGTTCTGTTTTTACATGTTTTGTTTCTTTCTTAGAGCACACGTGTGGGGGGGCGGAGGGGGGTGTTGTAGAGGGGGAGGGAGAGACAGGGAGGAATTTTTTTTGTTAAGATTTTATTTATTGATTTGAGAGAGAGGGAGAGAGTACAAGCAGGGGGGAGTGGCAGGCAGAGGGAGAAGCAGATTCCCTGCTGAGCAAGGAGCCCGATGTGGGACTCAATCCCAGGACCCTGGGATCATGACCTGAGCCGAAGGCAGCCATTTAACCAACTGAGCCACCCAGGCGTCCCAAGAGTGAGAGAGCACAAGCAGGGGGAGTGGGAGAGGGAGAAGGAGGCTCCCCGCTGAGCAGGGGAGCCTGATGCGGGGCTTGATCCCTGGAGCCCATGATCATGACCTGAGCCGAAGGCAGACAGCTCAACTGACTGAGCCACACAGGCACCCCAATTTTTTCCCTTTTTTTTAAGATTTTATTTTTAAGTGATCTCTACACGCAGTATGGAGCTCGAACTCAATCCCAAAATCAAGAATCATGTGCTCTACCAAGCAAGCCAGCCATGTGCCCTAAGAGTTATTTTCTCACTCATTAAAATGGTATCTTTACTTTTTGGGGGGGGGAGGGCAGAGGCAGAGAGACAATCTCAGGCCGACTCCCTGCTGAGGGCTCAATCTCACCACCCAGAGATCATGACCTGAGCCGAAATCAAGAGCAGACACCTAACCAACTGAGCCACCTAGGTGCCCCTAAAGTGGCGTCTTTACTTTGAAAAGATGGTGTGTTTTGTTTTTTGGAATATAACTGCTAGGTAGCATATGCTATTGATAGCCATGGGTCATCACATAAATAGTATATTTGGAACTCTTCTTGTGTAGAAGAAAACTGCTTATCTTTAAATTCAACTCTTAAATATTTGGCCATAAGAAAACCAGGAAATCAGAAAGTTTTTGCCATATTCTGTCTCTTTACAAAGATCCTACTGTTTCAAGATCTGTTTTTATTAATGTAGAATCAATGTTAAATTAAGTTTCAGTATCCTGAAATGGAATATCCAAGTGAGGGCACACTCTTAACATTACCCCAGTGTGGAGCTGCTGTTCTTTGCTTTGTGCCAATCTGATGAATGGCGTGAGAGTACCAATGCCCATTTGTATATTAAATATTGGTACAACTTTTAAATCTAAAAATGTGAAAAATTGAGGATTGAATGCCTAACTTCTCACATACCTGTAAGTGCTCCGTTCTACTCTAGGGGATACATACACTGCACTTTGGAGATCACTACCTTTGAAGGGCTTAAAGTGGGAGGGAGGAATAGAAGCAGAGGGTTTGAGACTATTCTACAACTGTAGTGGGTTCATATATTCATATATTGTTTTCCCAAGGAAGTAGTTGAAAATTTAAAATGTTGAAAGAAGGATATTCTACTTGGGTAGGAAGTTGGATTTGATGACTCATCCTTTTCCAACTCTAAGACTTTGACTTTATTCTTATTTTTTTAATTGAAGTTTTTTCATCAATTGGTTCATTTACATTTACTGAGTTCTTAGCATGTGCCACAGTGAGGGGCTGGGGGATATAGCAGTGGATAAAAACCCTTTCCTTGCAGAAATTCAGTATGTCCAGGAAGATAGACATTGAGACATTGAAGCTTTTTAATTTCAACTTAATAATCTTTCTATTGCTTTCCTGCTTATACTGGTATATATAATAAAATTATCTTTAGTTCAAGCAACATTTGATTACTAATTCTATGCCAGATGGTGTAGTAGACCAGTGTTACCTTCTCTTTTTCTATCTATATGTATGAAACTCATTGATTACTGAAAGCAAAATGGCCTTCAACATAAGAAAAACTCTAAGGTAATCTGTGATAGGACACTTGCTGAGCACTTCAGGTGGCTCTGCTTTTAGGTCAAGAATTAATCACAAGGATATACTTCGTTGGGCTAACGAGGAAAATGTTGCCTGAGTACATAACAAGGAATCCATTTGGCCAAGGAAGCTGAGAATTTTGTCCTACTCATATACTGTAGTAGACCTTGGAATTTCACAGAATGAGTGAATTTCTAAGTACTTTATGATATTGAATATAGGGGATTTTGCCCAAGTGCATATAAGACTGCATGTAAGTATGACCTATTTAAACATTTTGTATTTAGAGATAGTATTTTGTACCTTAGTGGCACAGTGTAAATTCTTGAACTGTAGACTCTAACCCTAACCCTAACCTTGAGATCATGACCTGAGCCGAAGGCAGACAGCTCGACTGACTGAGCCACCCAGGTGCCCCCCCCAAATTTCAGACTTTTAATTATGGAAATAACCCATAAGATAAGCCATTCTGAACTTTTTAAATGATGGGCCTTTTTTTTAGAGTCAAACATTCTATTTCTCTTAATATTGTTATGAAAATATGAAAAACATGAGTAGAGGGATGATCTTGAATGACCGTAGCTTACTGCAGTTTATTGGCTTAATAGGAAATATTGGATACAGAGAAGGTTGTGTTTGTCCCCCCTCTCTGTCCCTGTGGGAGTGGGGAGCAATGGGAGAGGAAAGGAGGAGATTGAGGTTGGGGGGAGAATAAGTTTCGACGTTGATTTTTTTTTTTTTTTTAAGGGGACTTTGGAAAATCCAGACAGATGCTCAGGAGGCGGTGGGAGCTATATGTTGTTAACCTTAAAAATAAAACTAGCAGTTGCTTTACTGGCAAAAATTGGTTTATTTGGTAATAGCAGAGAATTGCAATCTGGGACAAGTAAAGCTACAGCAAAACTATAGGCAAGTCTGGAGAACAAAGAAGTAAGTTCTTTTACAGAGGAAAGGGAGAAGTTGGAAGGGCTGTTAGAAACAAAATGTCCGGGGCGCCTGGGTGGCTCAGTCGTTAAGCGTCTGCCGGCTGAGGTCATGATCCCAG